TTCTCTCTCTCTCTCTCTTTCTCTCTCTCTTTCTCTCTCTCTCTCTTTCTCCCTTTCTTTCTTTCTTTCTTTCTTTCTTTCTTTCTTTCTTTCTTTCTTTCTTTCTTTCTTTCTTTCTTTCTTTCTTTCTTTCGACAGGGTATCCCTAGTCCCAGCCCATCTGGAAGTCACTGTGTGGACCAGGCTGGCCTTGATCACACAGAGATCCACCTGTCTGTGCCTCCACCACCCAAGGGCTGGGATTAAAGGCGTGTGCCACCATGCCCAGCTTCTTCATTTTCTTAGCAGAGAATTAAAAATTGAAATTATATGTTCCCAAAGGGAGGGGCCAAGTGGGTCTTTAGAAAACTTCATTCTTGCCAGGAAAGTTACATGGACATGACACGGATCCAGAAAATTATTGGCACCACAGGTATGAGTTATTCTTGAAAAACATGTACACCAGGGCTAAAGGCTATTACTTTTTGGATGTGAAGGATATGGTGCTCAGAGTTCTAGAGATCATAATCCAAATTCACTGAGGGTTCCCCTAAACCTGATTACCTTCAGAGTTGAAAGAGCTGAGCTAACTTAACTGCATTAATTTAGGACTTATCAGACTCAGTGTTAGATAGGTTACATGTGTCATTTCACTTATTAAAATACTAGAAAATAAGAACATTATTTTATTTGGATTTAAGAAAAAATAACTTGGAGAAGTTAAGCAACTTCCTAGCTACTAAGTGATTCTAGTAGTTAAACTTAATTGTCAACTTGCCTGGATTTGGACTAATCTAGGAGACCCACATCTGAGAGTGACTATAAGGGTGTTTCCAGAGAGATGCAACTGAGCAGGGAAGACCCACCCTGAATGTGGGCAGCACCATCCCATAGGCTGGAGTCTCCAACTTAATGTAAAGGTGGGAAAGGAGGAAGCACTTTGAGCACCAGCATTCATCTCAATGCTTCCCAACTGTGAACATGATGTGACCAGCTATCTCAATTCCCAATGTCATATCTTCCCCACCATGATGGACTTGCCCCCTCTCCCTTCCCTTCTTAAGTTGTTCTTGAATGGTATTTTGTTATAGTAACAACAAAAATTACTAACACAGTGACTTCATCAAGAATGACCCCAGATGGGACTGGCTCTAAGATCTAGGACTTCAGTGGCACCTGGGTAGGTGTGAGTTAAAGGGGAGTGACACTTTGTGAGTGGATCTGCCTAGGCAACACGTGGGAATCTGAAACATGAAACCCAGGGTTTGCCTTCCTACCTTTGTGGAGGAGCACAAAGCCGGGAGTGTCTCTGCCTGAGGACTAGACTTTCCCTCCTATTCACCAGCCTCTTTCACATTTACAGTTACTAGTCATCTGTGCCCCCAACTCCCTGGGAGATCATTCTTACCCAGACCACAAGGTGGAGTGAAGTACACTGTGTCATTTTTGCTGCTTACAGGATTCCTGACTTGACAAGTATAAAATGTAGAATAATTCTGAGGATTAACGGTGAGTTCAAGCACGTCTGCCTGGTTCTCATTGGGAAAGGGTCCTGAGTCGTTATACCAGACATAGTCAGCAGTCTGGTCCTCTATCTCGCAGTATAGGCTCAGATAGCAGGAGTCTTTCGATTCTTCTTTCTTCTTAAATGTAATGAAAGGCTTGGGTACAGGATCTGAAAATTAGCAAGTTATGAAACAATGGGCTGTGCATTTGTGAGGCATTTATGGCAAGGGTTTAGCCGACAAACTACTAAGGGACTCAGGGAGGAGCACAATTGCGGTTCAAGACCATTGCGGAGAGACACTCCTCCAGGTGGAGCCAGTGAGCAACTTTCTCTTCAAGAGACTCTGGAAGAGCTTCTTTTGGTGGTGATGCTAAGCGGGATCCAGGAGGGGGAACCAGAGACTTACATGTCCTCAAGAACAAAATGGGGTGATGGTTATCTGTGAGCCAGAAAACACAGCCAAGTGCTGGCTGGGAGATCAACTGATTTGGTTTCCCAAGTACCTGAGATACTCAGGACCTGTTCTCTAGCAATGGTTCACAGTAGGTACTCTGGGGTCACTTTGTCCCTCAAGAATTCTAGAGCTCAAGTCCAGGAAAGCTCCTGAAGAGGCTCAGGCTGCACATGGCAAAGCCCCTCGTCCTCCCATCACAGGCACTTAGGTCCATAAACCTGCCTCCTTTGTTTTCCTTATGAACGGAATTTCATGAAGGAAAATGGATTTATTTTCAGTTTGCCCAAGTTGTGTAATGTCTTTTCTATATGACTCTCTGTTAAAATACTTAATAAACTCACCAACTTCGTTTCATTTTAGTTCATCCTGAAATTCTTTCCGGGGGGTAGTCAAGGATCTCTATACCTGAGTGAAGGTCTCTAAGGGGAGGTGGATTCTTCAGGCCACTGGTGGCTGTTTAGAAGTGCCCTCCCCCACAAACATGCACTGTGCCTGTGTTCATATTAAATTTGTAGAAAGTCAGAGAACAAGGCTGGAGCACACGTAAATTTAACTGTGAGATAGGCTAATTGGTCCTTTCTGGGATCTGAGGTTGTTTTTGAGATGGTTTATATTTAATTCTGGGCCAAGGAAAATAGGGTCTTAAAGGTGATCCATTTTGAAAAGGAAAAGATATAGTATTACCACCCATTCTGGGTCTGATAGAATTCTTTGTCTCTAGGTCTCTCAAACAGAAGGGAGACACACCATAAGAGAACTACCAGCAGCCTAAATAGTTCCTTGCCCCCTTAGAGACCCTCACTAAGATAAAACTGGAGCCTTGATTGTCCTGCAGAAAAGAATTTCAAGATGAACAAGAATGAAGTAAAGTTAGTGAGTTTACTAAGTAGATAAAAAGTCATTCAGGAAAAGACATTACACAAACTCAAGACACAGTAGAGGCTTCTTACGGGAGCATTCCTCCAGGGCATCTTTACAATAATTATAAACATGGTCCTCTGGCTTTCCAAGTTACAAACTTCAAAGGATAAAATTTATAATATGGCTTAAAGGTAAAACAAAGTTTAAAATCTAAAAATTTGAAAGTTAAAAAAACTACTTGAGCAGGCTTACTTTAAGAATTTTCTCTTGTAAATGAGGTTGCACGGTAGTTTTATGAGATGCACTGTTTAGATTTGGGAATGAGAGGGAAGTGCTAATGCGGGAAAACTCAAGGTTGCAAATATTCTAAGTAAGCATAGTATATTTGTTTTTAACATTCTTCTTTGAGGCATCTTTAGGAAAATATACACACCTCTGTAGGCATATTTGTCTTTATCAGTTGTGTTAGTTTCTTTTATTTTGTTTTTTTTTTTTTACTTTCAGTTAGCAGAAATGGCAAATTAGATCCCCTTAATTTTTCCTTTCTAGTCTGCCCCGATTCTATTCCTTTAGTAGGTGGAGAGCTAAACCCCTTTGCATCTTTTCTTTGAGGGTCGGCTGTAAGCTCCAGACTCCTTCATTCTTGTTAAACACACTAATTTTGTAAGCAAAAAAAAAAAAAAAAAAGATGATAGTCTGATATTTTTAATAATTAAGATAATGTATTTTGATTGATACAAAGCATTTTTATGTCCTCTCATTTTGTATTATTTTTGACTATTCAGGAAGAATAAAACAAGATTTCATTTTTGTCTAGAAGCTGCTTTAGAAGAAAATCATTGTTTCTTTATTTCTCTCTTTTTTAAGTTTCATTTTTTTTTGGTTATCTAGAGTCAAAGACAAATTTTAATAAAATATTGTGTTCACATAATAAAATTTGTCAATGTGAATATGCATCCTTAAACAAAATAAATGCCTAATGAATCACTTAATTTCAAACTGATATCTACTATTAAACATGGACAGAATGATGAAATAGCACATGAGTAGTGCACAGGTTACACAATAAAACATCAAACTTCTACCATACATGCTAACCTTGAAGTTTACCTCTTTGGTCATTTTTGGCCTTAGAAAGATGGTTTATTATGGTGTGAGACTTTCCTGTTCCTAGGACCTCCTCACTCATTCCTTCATGACCTGAACAGTCCCCATAGAGACTGTCCTGGGAACCACATTTCTGCACAATTGGTCCCTTTTAAAAAATATTTTTATTATTTTTATTTTATGTGTATGAGTGTATTGCCTGCATGTATGCGAGTGCACCCATGTCATGCAATGCCGTTGAGGTCAGAAGAGGGCTTCAGATTCCCCTGGAACTGGCATTAAGGACGGTTCGTAGCTGCCATGTGGGTGCTGGGAATCGAACCCTGGTCCTCTGAAAGAGCAGTCAGTGCTCCTAACTGCTGATCCATCTCTCCAGCCCATAATTGGTCCTTTTGGCTATAACTGTTTAGACCAGACACATGCACCTGAACCATGTTGGATACATGAGTTTCTTGTCAGATTTCTCTAAGAATGTAATTCAGAGTCACAAAGGCCCAAGGTTTGAGAGGTAAGTCTTGTTAATGGCAGGGATCTGTAGATTCCTGAGGCTGGGGACTCTAAATTGGCCCTGGTTCTCAGTCTTCCACCTCTCACTCTTTCTTGATTCTTCTATACTCCTTGAATAGTTCTAGGTAGCTCCTTAACATAACTTCTCCTTTTTTGGTCAAGATACAATGAATTGTTTTCTATAACTGGCCTCAAAAGAAGCTTACCTAATATGGACAAGGAAATATTAATATCTTTCTCCATAGTATCACAGCAATTGAGTAGTTAGCCAGAGGGCTTTTAAGGAGTAAATGGGCATATAATAACTGTACACATTTATGGAGTACATTGTGATAATTCAATACACACATGTAACAATTAAATCAGGGTAATTAACATTTACCTCCTAAAATATTGTTGGGAATCTTTGAATTTTTTCCCACCTACTTTGAATCATATATAAATTATAGACTATAATTACCCTACTGTGCTATGGAACACCAGAACTAAATCCTTCTATTTAACTGTATTTTGGCATTCATTATCCAACTTCCCTCTACCCTGCTCTTTCTAACCTCTAGTGACTATTCTTCTACTTTACTTCTAGAAGAGACCAACCGTCTTAGCTTCTACAAAAGATTGAGAACACGAGATATTTGTCTTTCTGTGCCTACTTCTTTCACTTAACCAGAGTTTTGAACCTACGACTATCTGACTCCCAGGATACTGTCCCAGTCTTTATTCCACGTAGAATGTTTAGGCTGTAGCTGTAAGTGTAAGTTTTTGTTATACTCATTTTGATGAGTCAAAAACTCTCCTTAAGAGTTCCTGCCCCAATTTAGCCTTTTAGTATTTTTTCCATAGGTCTGATGAAGTCCAAGTTCATATAGAATGAAGGTGAGTTGAAAATTGATTTGGGTTAATTACAAGGTGGAATGAAGGAAATAAAGAAGAAATAATGTCTATTGTTTCCTGTCTGTTATGATTTCTTTCTGTTTACGTCCCCTCAAAAGGCTGTCTTGGGGCTGGAGAGATAGCTCAATGGTTAAGAACATTGGTTGTTCTTGCAGAAGACCCGGGTTCAAATCCCAGGACTCACATGGCAGTTAACAGCTGTCCATAACTCCAGTCCCAGGAGATCCAACAGCCTCTTCTGACCTCCGGGGGCACTGCACGACACGACACAGGTGCTCTTACGTACATGCAGGTAATACATGCATACACATAAAATAAATACAATAGCCTCTTCTGACCTCCGGGGGCACTGCACGACACGACACAGGTGCTCTTACGTACATGCAGGTAATACATGCATACACATAAAATAAAAATAATAAAATTTTTTTAAGTTAAAAAAAAAAGGCTGTCTTGATAGA